CACATTCCAGTTCTCTCCCACAAATACTTCCAGAGATATGTATGTAATATGAAAATTCCAATTTGTATGGGAGGGGCCTGAGTTATCGGAATTACTTTCAGTCTAAGACCATCCTTGCGAAATACGTAGTAAGTGTACCAAATTTCGTTCTGATCGGGAAACCGGTTAAGGATGTGGCCTATTTTTCAATCCAGGTCATAAACCATCTGTGAGCAAAATTTCATATTCAAACAGGTGGCAATTCTTAAAAAAGTACCCTATTTTCCAATCTAGATCATAAGCTATCTGTGTGCAAACTTTCATGCAAATCAGGTCAGTCATTTCCGCGTATTAGTTTAATTAAACTTTTCTAATAGGTGGCAACTCTTTAAATGGTAGCCTGTTTTCCAACATAGGTCATAAGATATCTCTGTGCGAAATTTCATGCAAATCCGTTAAGACGTTTCCGCGTATTAATATAACTAAACTTTGTTAGCAGGTGGCAACTCTTAAAAAAGTAGCCTATTTTCCAACCTAGCTCATAAGATATCTGTGTGAAAACTTCCATGCAAATTAGTTCACCAATTTCCGCGTATTAATTAAATTAAACATTTCTTACAGGTGGCAACTCTTAAAAAAGTAGCCTGGTTTCCAACCTAGATTGTAAGCTATCCGTGTGCAAAATTTCATGCAAATCCGTTCAGTCGTTTCCGCGTATTAATTTAATTAAACTTTTTTTAACAGGTGGCAACTCTTAAGAAAATTAGCCTATTTTCCAATCTAGGTCATAAACTATATGTGTGCAAATTTTCATGCAAATCCGTTCAGTCGTTCCCGCATATTAAATAAATTGAACTTTTTTAACAGGTGGCAACTCTTAAAAAGGAACAGCCTATTAACCAATCTGGCTCATAAGCTATCTGCGTACAAAATTTCATGCAAATCCGTTCAGTCGTTTCCGCGTGATGATTTCCCAAACATCCAAACATACAAACTTTCACATTTATAATATTAGTAAGATTAGGAATTTGCTGCGAATAAAGAACCAATTTATCAGCTGTTCATGAAACTTGATAATTATTACTGGACTTGCGTTCACGTACTTTTTTGGATATTTTTTCTTTGAGAGCGAATTCGCAGAAATTAAGTTACTGGAGAGTTGCTGGCGAGTTACTGAATAATTTTTTAAACAAACACAACTACTCTTAGTAAGTTCTTTCTTCTTTTTAAAAGACTGATTATTTATGAATTATAAAAGGATATTCGTAATTTTATTTGTAAAGCACTTGTATTGCAGCCTCTAGTAGGTGAACAGGCACAACTTCCAAAACCTATTAAACAAGAAACGCACTTTTACTGACCATTTTATTAACAACCTGGCCAATTGAATAAACTCACCTGGAACTTGCAGCACTTATTTCGCAGCTTCTCGCTGAGATAAAAAACACAATTCACAAATCTATGGAAGGTAAACATAATTAGTCTTTATTTGCCACTTGGCATAAATACATAAAATTGCTTACCTAAATTTGTAAAAAATCGCAAATCCACAACTAAAACCTGTTGAATATACACACAAATTACAATTTTCGCAAAAAATATTATTATATTAAATAATGGAAAAGTCACAACTAAACAGAAATGTCAAGTGATGTCAGTGATGTTCACTCTTACGTTTTCAGCACAATACCTGAAAGGAGTTTTTCTAGTGTAGTTTTTGTTCAAGAGGGCATCATTCAGAACGGGGCTACCGAATTTGTCAAAATTACAACAAACATCCCCCAACTGACATCACCTTATTTTTATTTCACCATGCCATATATATACATGCAGTAGATGCCCAACAAGCGGATTAAGCGAATGTAATGTACATAATTTACCTTATTGAAAATATATTGTGAAAAGTGCATTTAAAAATAAAAATTGCATCCTCTAGCTACATTTCATAGTAAATATTTATAGTTCATACAGTGTTGTTCTCATTTTAGAAGCTATGTCCGGGTATTAGCTGAAGAATATTTCACTAACAATTAATTTGGCTTTAAAACACTTTCGTTAAATCAGAATTGATTTTACTATTTACTTGTTTCTTCTTGGTTAACGTGGAAGTAAGTATAAAAAATGTTATGCGTACATACACCTACACCTATGTTCGTAAAGATTATAAGTGTAGCTGATAATATAAAAACGAAAACAAGGATTCTATTTGTTTGCTCAACTGCTGTTTATATTTGGTAAACATGATTTGCAGAATTTCCGCACGTAATATTACCATTATGACAATTGCTGGAACTTAATTATTTTTAAATATTAATTATTAAATGCTGCGTAAGCAGTCCTAGATAAATCCATGCGTGATAGTGTTTACGTGCAACAGGGGGTGATCAGCAAAGAAAATCCATGTAGCGATTTGAACTGCACTGTGAACGTGAATTTGTAATCAGGGTGAATAAGTTTAATTTCTATGCAGTGGTGTGCCTAAACAACTAATACTACGTTTATGCGTAGGCTAATTCACGAATTCATTTCATGAATTCGGGTTAAAATTGGCTGCATAAACACCATTTCATGAATTCAGTTATACACGAAAGTTAACCATGAATTCGGCATCATTTCATGAAATCGTGAAGTGCAAGTCCGGCAACGCCACGTTTCACAAACAGCTGTTTACTAGGGTTATGATGGTTTTAGATTAAAAAGCATGAGTGGCATAACCAGGATTTAAAACACTGGAAAAGTTATGTGGAATCGTTGAAATATAAAATAAATTCAAATAGAATAAACTGAAAATATATTATAACCAATTTAAATATAATGTGGTTCATTGCCTGGTACCAACGACTTTTGCAAATTCAAAAGGAGGCCAAAAAAGTAACAACCCTACTGTTTAGTTTCTCGCAATTGCATTGCCACTTTTTCCAAGCACTTTATTTCATGTATTCGCGAACTATACATAAACGGGACCATTTTTGAATTCATGAAATGAAGAATTCATGAATTCTTGTCGCATGAACGTAGTATAATTTAACTACAAAACAAGGTTAAGCAAAAAGTGTTAAACAAAATTAAACTTAAGAAGAGATTTTCCAAGCAGTTCATGTTAAGAAAACGTTTATTCACTTAGGAAAGGTAGTACTAATAACAAAAATGTAACGAAAATCGAAAACAAATCTCATGACAATTGAATCCTTTAAATGTTGGTAGCCTGCCGCTGAGTATGCGGGTGATCAACCGGCCAACCAAGTATTCGAAACGGATGAGCTCCCGAACCTGAAGAGAATTGATTCCTGACTCGCTGATAACAGAGACTCCAGGAGCTCAGCAGGAGTTGCGGTAAGTTGTCTCCTGATTATGCATAAGTATGTATACTGTTGTTTGTCCCTGATGCAGCTATACCAGGTGAAGTAGTAAGAATGTTTGACAGTGATTGTTTAAAATTTTGAATTTCATTTGCGTTGTTATGAAAAGATTATTCTGCGAAAAATAAACTGTCTTACTAATTCATCTGGGATCATATTGTTTAACAAATTGGCGATCTCCGCTTATTTGCTGCTATTGAGTTTTTATTTTTTATTTTTTTTTTATGTGAGCATACTAATGAGGTGGGATATGATAGGAGTAGTAGAAGTGGAATTCAGTAAATTTTGATATTTGTTTTTTGTTTTTAAGAACCCTAAAGTTTACACTTGACATTGATTACGTGGAAGCTGTTGGTTCATTAGTTTCCGCAGTGTTGCGTGGTAATAGTACCAGTTTCACCAGTGGTCTTGTCATTTTCATCAAAATTTTCAACTTTTTAATCAGATGAGTATGCAGTTTTGCAGCCCATTAAATTCTAGTAAAAAAGGCAAGTTCGGAGTTAGTCAAAAATCGCGTTGATTTTTGATAATTTTTTTTGTTGAAGGTGTTTCCCATTTTTTCCATATTAAGTATTTTCGAACCATTTATTTTTTACTCCTGACTCCCACAGACCATCCAACAAAGTTTGTCCGGTTGTCTGAATAGACGTTTCTTGGGCACCCTCGTCTGGCAACGAATCTGCTAAAAGCTGCTAGAAAAGAAGCTGTACTTAAGTCGCTGGTGGCCTCCAATTGGATGGCTTTGGTAGAAAAACAAACAAACAGACAAACATATCCTTTTGAGGTTTTTAGGTTGTTCGTTCTTGTGGTAGTATCGCCATTAGCTGATTTTGTGAGCGTTTCTTAAATATCGTGCAGATCTTGCAATTGTAGATGATGGACCTTATCATAGTTTTGACCTTCGGAATCCAATACTGCGTTCGGATGAGACGCAGCATTAGTTGGTTTTCACCGTGGAGTGAGACATCTTGGACGAATTGGACAGTCAGACGTGATAACCTGCAATTATAAGGAAGGATGATTGGGTAACGTTCGTTGTATGCCAGATCGAGAGATGCGCCAAGACGACCGCCTGTTCTCAAAACACCGTTCTTGTCGATGAAAGGATTTAAGGGCAATATTTCGCTTTTCGCATCGATCGGTCCTCCAGATTTCTCTTCAATGTTTGTGGTAAAGTCTGTTTCTTGTGTTGGCCATTTTTCTTTATCTTCTTGCAGCCAAGAAGGTCCTTGCCACCACAACGCATTGTTGATCAATTCTTGCGCCAGTATGCCTCGGCTTGCCAAATCAGCGAGATTTGTAGCTGAGTCCACGTGGCGCCAATTCAAGTTTCCCACTTTGTCGATTTTCTTGGTAATACGGTGGGCTACGAATGTAGACCACGAACATGGGTGTATCTGCAAGTGGCCTAAGTCGAGATTATTGATGACTGATTCGATGGTTTCTGCCAGAAATACAGCCCCGCAAAGTTCTAATCGAGGTAGGGAAATTGTTTTTACTGGTGCAACTCTAGTTTTTGCAAACAGCAAATTGACAAATATGCATTTTTCTCGTTCCACGCGCAAGTAGACTGCAGCCGCGTATGCCTTTTCGGACGAATCACAAAATCCATGAATTTCGATTTTCTCCGTTGGCGAGAATTCTACCCATCGAGGAATACGTATGTTGTTGATTTCGTTGTAGTTTTTCGTGAAAGTCTGCCATCTGTCTAATGTTGTTCGAGATACTTTCTCATCCCAGTCGGTACCCTCTAACCAGATGTTTTGCATTAGTATCTTCGCAACAACAATTATCGGTGCTAGCCATCCAAGTGGGTCAAAAAGTTTGGCGATATCAGAAAGTATCGATCTCTTTGTGAAACTCTCGTGGATTTCGATAGGCTTGGCTATAAAATAGAACTGATCAGAGTGAGCGTTCCATCTTATACCAAACGCTTTCACACTGCTAGTGTCCTCGAACTCCAAAAAGTCTTCATTCAACAGATGTGATTTTTAAATGCCTTGTAGTATTTGGCTGCAGTTCGAAGTCCATTTTCGCAGAGGAAAACCGGCTGATTGTAAAATAGTGATGACTTCATCTCGAGCTCTTAACGCAGAGTCGATGGTGTGTCCGCCAGCGAGCACATCATCGACATACATGTATTTGTGCAAAATATTCGAGGCTATCGAATAAGAGCTCTCAGATTCATCAGCTAATTGCAGCAATGTCCTTATTGCAGCAAGGAATTAATATTGTCTGGTCAGACTGAAGCACGGGTCCTGGCAAAAGAACATCGTTCAGACTGACAGCATTCGCTGTTGGAGAAGACGCATTGAAAACTACACGCACCTTTGTTGACGTGCTTTCTGCTTTTATCACAGAATGATGAGGTAGATAATAGTTGTTTACGGAATCTGCTGACTGAATTGAATTTACTTTCGACATGTGGCCCATGGATTCATATTCCATGATTACTCTTTTGCAACTCAGGATTTTTCTCTAACCGTTTTTCGTTTTTGTAAAACTGGGAAAAGGCTATTTTCAGTGAAGGCCCTAATGTGACTTTAGATGGGAAATCGTCTTTAAATGGAAGAGACACGATGTATCTTCCATCTTGGTTCCGCATTGCCGTTCGTTTGTAGAGCTCCTCGCATTGCTTTTCCTCCGCTGTCAGTATCCTGTCTCTCGGGATGTCTTCCAACTTCCAGAAAGTGCTGATGTGTTTATCCACGGCCACTTCATTGAAGAACGATACGCGATTAGTAGTTGGATTGTCTGAGTCTGCCCGACCCGTCAGTATCCAACCGAATACTGCCTCTTGAGCTAATAGCGTACTTAGAACATTCTTTCGAATACCGCCTAAAATTATTTGGGGATAGATGTCTCCACCTAGAACAAGATCGACTTGCTCGTTTATGAAGAACCTTTTATCCGCCAAGACAAGATCTGGAAAAGCTTGCTGCGCGAGTGCGCTGATGTGACACGTTGGCAAATTTCCAGTAAGTCTGGGTAAAACTAACATCATCGCTTCTATTGAAATCAGTGGATCAATGGGTGACCTAAGTTGAACTGAGCACGATTCTTTTACCTGCGCAGAAACCGTATTGTTGATGCCCGAAATTTGGGCATGCATTTTCTTGGTCGGCAGGTTGATTCTGCGTCTGAGCCTTTCCGTAATGAAAGAACACTCAGAGCCCGAATCAATTAGTTCTCTCGCTGAGAAATTCGTGCCATTAAAGTGAATGTCTACACGAGCTGTACCCAATAATACACCTTTACTTGTATTAGCATCATGTGTTTTTACCTTAGTAACCGTTTTGCTTTTGCCTTTTGTAGAATCGCGTCGCATTTGAGCCTATATGGATGTGGACGCTGAAGTATCCAAAGGTTCAGAAATCTCATTCCTGTTTGTTGCTTTTGGAGGTGCTGTTTGAACGTGTAGGAGTGAGTAATGTCGAGAATGACAGTTGGCGCAATTGAACGAACTAGTGCATTTCGATACCAACTGTCCAAAGGCGAGACAGTTCAAACAACAATTATTGTTTTTTTACGAAAGCAACCCTGTCGTCTACGGATAATTTACGAAACCTTGGACACAGATGCATCTTATGTTCGTTACTCTGGCACATTTTGCACATATATTTAGCGACACTTGTTTGAAAAGCGCCAAGTCTCTTATGCGAGGGTTCAGAGGAATGCTTATAGTTCGAAACCTTTGGTGGTTTTGAAACCGTGATTCCTCTTAAACCTGAGACTGATTATAGCGTTTGGAACCTATGTGAAAGGAATCGGTCCATATCTGTCTACTTAGAAATGTCAGTTTTATTCTCTACCGACTGTTCCCACAGCGAAAGTGTCATCTCAGGCAGTTTTGTAGAACATAGGTACTTTACTATTGGGTCCCAATTTGAAATATCGATCTGATGGCTTTCTAAGGCAGATATGCAATTGTTGATATACCTTTACAATCTTTTGATCGATGTTCCACATTCAGTTTCGACCGATTTCAAGTAGAAGAGAATCTTCAATTGCGTATTGACCAGGATTCTCTTGTTTTCGTACCTATCACGGAGATGCTTCCAGGCTGCGCTAAAGCCTTCATTAGTTAAGGGACACTTGCTAACAATCTCCTTGGCCTCACCCTGCGTTTTCTCTCTAAGGTGATATAGCTTCTCTACTGGTGTAAGCCGTTTATTCAAAATATAAATGGCTGTGAACAAGTCACGAAAAGTGGGCCATGTCAGGTAATCACCTTTGAAACGTCTGTATCGCAGGGTGGGAGATGTATGTTGTTTGAACGAGTTGACATGTCCTCGTTTTCTTTTTCTAACCTATCACACAGATCGCTTATTTTCGACATGCAGCGCAAGAAAGCTGTGTAGCTCGTTTTTTTTTTCTTATTGCACTCAGATCCTTTGCAGGAAGTGACTCGGTTGTTAGAAGATCGTCAAATAGAGCTTTGGCTTTATTCCACATGGTTTTCAGGTCAGCTTGCTGAATTCTCAGCGAGTATATTGAGTGATCATTGCTGGGCGTACTCACAAAATCTATATCAAACTCTATGACCGAGTCGGTTAAGCGACTGAATGTTTCCATATTGAATTTTAATCTGTAAATACGACCTTAAGGTTTTGAGCGGTCCTACCTTTTGCTGTCACAACTAGTCAACTTTCAATTACCATAAATTTTCCGGTGTACCCGGCAACCATATATATGAGTAGAATTCTACGTTCAAAAAGCTACGGCATTCAGCGGGGGACTTCACTCTGTCTATGTGTGAGTCGAAAGCTTTCCTTCAAGCGTTGAATTTTTGATATATTTTCTTGTCGCTTGGTCGAAAAAATTATAACCGCGCCATATTTTGATAGGTTCTAACATGTTATTTCTTTTTGTAATCTAATTTTGGTTATTTTTTATAAAAATATTTTTCTTTCTTTAACAGAACTCGAAAAAATTCAAATTTCAAACTTTGTTCAATATTTAAAAAAAAATAAACAAAATTTAGTAAAAATTTGAGGTTAATGGAGCGCTGATTGCCTGAAAAGCCTGGTATCTTAGGATATACATATGTACAGATATATCGAGCCCTAACTGCCAAAATAACGTAAGCGACATTTTTTTCAAAATTTTCTTTTTGATGCAGAAAGGCATCGATATGTATGTTTGTACAGTTCTTCACATAAAATAAGTTTGGTAATTTTTTGTTGAGTTTGGTAACATTTTCCGGTGATTTTTGTAAAAAATAATAACAATTTGTGGCAACACTGCTCAGCTTTCTTGCGCTGCATGTCAAAAATAAGCGATCTATGTGATAGGTTAGAAAAGGTAGAATAAGAAAACGAGGACATGTCAACTCGTTCAAACAATATACACCTCCTATCCTGCCATACAGATGTATTCAAAGGTGATTACCTGACGTGCCATTTATATTTTGAATAAACGGCTTAAAGCATAAACAGGCGGCACCGTTTATCCGGACCAACTCGAGAATTAACTGCAGTTGATCCGGATTAAGTCCGGCTCAACGCTGCCGCCTGTTTAAGCTTTTACACCAGTAGATAAGCTATATCACCTTAGATAGAAAACGCTGGGTGAGGCCAAAGAGATTGTTAACAAGTCTCCCTTAACTAATGAAGGTTTTAACACAGCCTGGAAGCATCTCTGTGATAGGTATGAAAGCAAGAGAATCCTGGTCAATACGCAATTGAAGATTCTCTTTAACTTGAAGGCGGTGGAAACTGAATGTGGAACATCGATCAAAAGATTGCAAAGGGATATCAACAATTGCATATCTGCCTTAGAAAGCCATCAGATCGATATTTCAAATTGAGAATAGTAAGGTTCCTATATTCTACAAAACTGCCTGAGGTGACACTTTCGCTGTGGGATCAATCAGTAGATAATAAAACTGACATTTCCAAGTGGACAGATATGGACCGATTCCTTTCAAATAGGTTCCAAACGCTAGAATCAGTCTCAGGTTTAAGAGGAATTACGGCTTCGAAACCTCCAAAGGCTCCGAACTACAAGCATTCCTCTGAACTTTCGCATAAGAGACTTTTCAAACAAGTGTCGCTAAATATATGTGCAAAATGTGCGAGAGTAACGAACACAAGATGCATCTATGTCCAAGGTTTCGCAAATTTACCGTAGACGACAGGGTTGCTTTCGTAAAAGACAATAATTGTTGTTGAACTGTCTTGTCTTGTCTCTAAAGTCATACATATCGACTAAAATTAGAACTAAAGATGTATTTATTCGTAAATTTAATTTTAAATACAATCGCGATATTTCATCTTTTAAAATTGATGTAGCTGCCGAAGATTTTGATTCACTACTAAATAGTTCATTTTGGCCGACCGGGGCGTTTGTTCGTGAGTTTGAGTATAAACCTAATAAAAGTAATAACAACGTAGCTAAAATTTCTAATCTTAATTCGGATTCAAAAAACTAACTCGCAAGTCTAATTTAAGTATTTACTATCAAAACGTTAGAGGTTTGAATACCAAATTAACTGAGTTATATTTAAAAGGTTTATAATATAATATTATTTCCTTGACCGAAACATGGCTTAAACCTCATATTTTTAACTCCGAAATTATTCCAAATGAATATCAAATATACAGGTGTGACCGCGAGGTCAGAATCGGCGGTGGTGTTCTTTTTGCGGTGCATTCATCGATACCATCCGAGCAAGTTAGTGTTCCTGTCATTGAATATACCGAATTTAAATGTATACGTGTACAGGCTGGAAAGAGTTATATTTATTTAGCTCTTTGCTACATCCCTC